AGTGCAAACTTCGTCATGGTTTCGATCATACATGCGTATATAAGTGCACGTACACGTATCTACAGCCACCCATTTGTTTTTAACCTGAACGTGCGAGCATCGACCGCCGAGTCTGTAAGCACCTGTTACGGGCGTCCCCATGTCCGGTTCCCGGAAGAGCCTAGCAGAAGACAGCTGCGCAGGACTGTTTATCGCAGGCGCGCACGTATTCTTGTTCTTTTTTGCCGCTGTGCTCCGTTGAAAAGCGCTTATCGAGTGAGCGGTCGACACTCGCGCATTGAAGTTTTAAAAAATTGGCGGCTGTACAAACGCACGCAAGAACATACAGGAAAAATGCTTGATACACCCCCCCCCCCCCCCCCCCTAAAAAATAATCTCTAGCTACGCCCCCGGTCGGCATCACTCACTTGTTATTTGAAACTGCAGGTTCCACAAGCCCGCGAGTGATCACAGATCGGTTAAGAAGTGTCGCTGCTCACAGGAGGAAACAAGCTTTGCCCGTGCACGCTGTCTCTGGCTGCAAGCTCTCTTTGAGTTCAAGTAACAAGAATTGAAAGCTGGGCGAGTTGAGATCACCTGATTTGCTCAGCAGTTCCGAAAAACACAACATTGAGCACACAACATTGAGCACAACACAACATTGAGCACACGTGCTAAGGAACCGCACATTTCACTATCTCAAGAATGCCACGTGGTTGATGTGTCATCTTTGTGATTCATGTGCTCGAAGTTTTTTTTTTCTTTCTTCTTTTTCAGATACGATTTGAGATAGTTTAACCTTGAGTACCACTTCCGAGGTCCCGCTTATCTGAAGATGATAAAGGAAGCTCGCCGTGTAACAAGGAAATATCGCGAGCCTGAGTTCTGATTGATTTGTAAAGTTTAACGATATGATTATGAGATACGCCGTAGTGGAGGGCTCCGGAAATTTCGACCTCCTGGGGTTCTTTAATGCGCACCCAAATCTGAGCACACGGGCCTACAACATTTCTGCCTCCATCGTAAGTGCAGCCGGGATTCGATCCCGCGACCTGCGGGTCAGCAGCCGAGTACCTTAGCCACTAGACCACCGCGGCGGGGCTGAATTCTGAAAGCGCGCTTTGCCACGATCAAGAACGACGCTGGTTTCGGGTGCGAGGACATGCTGGAGGGAAGCAGAAGAAGGGCAGATAAAGAACAGCCGGCCCCAGAGTACGGGCGTTGTCTCTCGTCTTATCCCTTACAGTGGCACCATCTGACAACTATACCTTCCGGCTGAAGCCACCTGCCTTCCTGAGCCTTCAGCACCGGGGTCCGTCCATTTAAGAAACGCCGTTCACGCTTCCTCGCTCATACACACAAGGACCCTACGATTGCCGGGCCTACGCCAACATTAGAAGACGGTCAGTGGCCAAGGTTGCCACTGGCATTCGAGTGAAATTCGCCTAACGACGGCCAAAAAGTCGCCAAAATTGTTTTTTTTCTCAAATTTCGCCGCCAGAATAGTCGCCACTCTACATATGTGCAACGTGCCTAGTAATTAAAATTGATAATTATGTACAGCCTCGTGAAGTACGGTACCGTCCATAACCCCTAAATTAACGTTTTTCTAATGCCAGTCGCTTCACCCGCAACACCATAAGAGAGTTTAGTGGGCTTAGAGTCCCATTAGCCGCTTCACATTGGCATGCAGCACAGAGAAGGAGCGTGCGTGCACAAGCGTAGCATCCCTGAATGTTAGCGCCTCATAACAAAAGTTTGTAATGGTCTCAGTTGTAGCCGGAATGCAGGGTGAAGCAGTTGCTATTACGAGAGAGGGGCGACGTAGCCTTCCTGCAAAGTTAGATAATTTCATTTCAATGTAACAATGTGTTTGATAATCGAAGATCTCAAATAACAAAACAACTGAACCACACATTCGGAACCACACATACGCTACACATTCGTCTCAGTGAAGTGGGTGGGGGCTGCCCGAAGAATCCGACTTCTTGACCAGTCCGCAAACGGTATGTTATTAACGAATTGAAACATTGCATGCCAAACTAGGGGGTACTCCAGCAGCGAAGAAGTCGACATGCAGGTCGAAACAGTGGAGCTGTAGTCGCAACACGCGGCCCAACCGTCGCCTATAGTCACTTCAGAAGCGAAGCTTCAAAGAAGCTTAATGCTTTTAAAGCACCTAAATAACCTGATGTAGCACCACTGCCTCGTGGCACGCGAAGCAGTCCGCTAACTTATATTTTGCTGAGAGGTTGCTGGCGGACGCTCTAGTGCGCCATTACCAGAGTCTATAGGTGAATTGAGCAGAAACACAAGAGAAGTGGGACAGACGTAGTACTGAATAGCGCGTTAAGTGGCCTTCTACTGGTCGGCCTACGAAAAATAGAAAAAATGTGGTCACCCATGCGTTTTGAAGACACTGAGCATAAAATGTTTAACTCAGTCGAGTCCTAAGGCGAAAATTGCGAAACATTCGCCATGTTGCCATTCACAACCTTAGGTCACCACGGGCCTCTCGAATTCGCCAATTCGGCGAAGAGTAACCGTGCACGCACCAGTAACAACCCTGTCTATGACCAAAAGGTATACCCCGCTGTCGCCGAGACAGCGCCCAGCCTTCTGTGGTGCACTGGCCGACACGTACGACATGATTGCAGTATGCCCAGCCATACCTCTTCCTTTTTCAGCCCCCTTCCTCCTACACACAAGAGAGGCTTGGGAGGAGTTCCTGCTCGGCTGCTCCACCAGGGACGCTCAGCGCTCCCTGCTGGCCCGCGCCCGAGCAGCAATGACCTCCAGTGGACTTCTGGAATAAGGAAACCACTCAAGTGCATTTCTAGTGCAACTCTCAGTGCTTTTCCTAATAAATGTTTTTCCACCACCACCTGCAGCCCGGAAACGCTGCTCACGCTTCGCGTGGCGACAGACTCTCGCTCAGGACTCCATCGGCACCCGAGCTGCTAAGGGGTGCTCTTCAAGCTCACTCTGACGACGATCCCACCGCAGTGAGCCCAACCAGCTCTTCCTTGACCAAGATTGCCACTGGCTTCACATGCGGATCGTCGGAAAGCGCCATTCAGGTGCCGTGTACCACCATGCTACTCCGCGAACAATAATCTATGGCGGCACAAAATTAAAAGGAAAAGGTATCCAAACTTGCGCGAACTACGGCCGTTTAATTCACTCTTTTACATTACCTGAAAAGCTGAAAAGAATCGCGCTCTCCCTGGTAGACTAGTCTTCTTTTCTTATTGAAAAGCTTTCATGACTCGCCTGACGAGGAAATGAACCGCGGAACCTGAAAACAAAGGCAGCCTCGAGAGCCTCATTTAGCCCTTATTCGGGCCTTTATATCACTCAAGGCGGTGTTATTATGCAAGCGCATCGTATAGTGTCAACGCATACGTCCTATATATAATTCTGACCTTGTACCGGGTGAAGATGGCCAGTCAGTCCCGAAAGCAAGAAAGAGGAAATATTCTGGGCTGGACAATAGAGAATTGCATTGGCGAAGCGCTGCAAGTTCTCTTGGGTGATGGCTTTTTCCACGTCTTAATACAGAATTCAACACTCGAAGTCAACCCAGAAGCTCAGATGGAAAATAATCTATGCAGACGAGCTGGAAGACTCGACGTGCATAATGAATGGCATTTTCAGGCCTTTTGTTTTAGGAAATTATACATCATGTAAGAAACATACAAAGGTTCTCAAAGAGAGACGCATGAAAAGGACATAGCCTAAAATGTCTTTTATAAGTAGTGTCAAGGAGGTCATTCGACGAGTCTTGGCACGTCAAAAAAAGTGCGAAAACGGACGATTCCAGGCGGTGTCATATAGCAGCCCTCGTAAAATCTCACCGGAAAGTGAAGAATTTCGACAGCGTCTTTCCGCGTGCATTGATTTGATAAAGAGAACAAGTTTTTTAAGGAGCTTTCAATAAATGTTACACTGTCACGATGGCCTGTATACGAGAAGAGACTGAAATCTGTGACGTCACACCAATGTTCTGGGGTCCCGACACAATATTCTAAAACAATGTCACTTCTTAGCTTTCCTTTATTGCTGAATTTATTGTTGAAAAAAATGAAATCAAATTTAAATATTTAAAGGCTAATACTGTCCACTTGAAGCGACTTTTTTGTTTGTTTAGTGACTCAGCCAACAAGTTGCGGCTACACGATCATAGAACTCACAGCAGCCGTCCGCCATACAAGCAGAAAGAGGCTCCGGCCGCGTTCTAGATAAAGATGAGTAATGCCAGGCATTTTCAGATGGTCTCGTTAAAACACGTGAGCATTTTTCGATGGAAATTTATATCTTCTATATTCAGCATTGGCGCAATTTCTTGAAACAAGAGGGTCACTTTCGCAAGGCTTTAACAGGTTCCTCCCATCAACAGTTCTTAAGGCGTTCATTCACAGTGAGCATTAATAATCAAGCAAGGCCACTAACTAAGGACACTGACGAAAGTAGTCGACATCGCGTGCTATTTCATTGTACAAGAGAAAATGTGTCACACGTTGCTTAGCAAATGAATATTCGTTGACACCTTCCTAGTAACCTACATCTTTGGGATGAAAAAAAAATTGTTGGCAGCTTTGACTGTCGATGAGCTCGTTGCACTTCAGGGACAACGTATGCAATGTCTGCGCTTCAACAATTGCCTACAAGTGGACTCCGCAATGGTCGTCAAAAAATCTTATGAATAACGCGCGCAAAACACCCTTAAAATAACGCGTCACTGCTGCTATCACAGCCATCTTGCATCAGGAATATGAATAGACGCTGATAAATTGAATTCACAAATGCGTTTTCGCAGCCAGACTTTATATTAAATGCCACACGGGGCAAAACTAGCACTACTTGCGCAGGGCCCTAACTTTCAACTGTTTCACTTGAAGGGCTCTAGATTTCAACCCCCCCCCCCCGTTTTTTTAGTGTCGTCTCAGAAGTTATTAACACTAAAATAGTTGCATATTCATTGTCACCTAAAAACATGCGTGACATATAAGACCATAGCATATTCAGAAAACTCCGACCAGCGGTGCTGTGTTTATTCGTCCCCCTTATTCTCGCAGTCCTCTTTTTGACAGACGAGAGCCCCGGATGACGCACTTTTCACTAAACGTCGCGGCTCGCGCTTCAAACCGATTCCCAAGGCAACGGAGCCTTTTCACAAGAGCGTCCATCTAGTCCGCTTTGACAGGACCGCACAGTCCCCCTTTGTCCTTGGTGTACAGTTTCACGTAGAAGAGCACGAACAGCGAGAAGAACAGCACTGCCTGTCCGAACTCGAGCCACACGAACAGGGGCACGTAGTTTCCCTCGGCGAAAAGCAGGCACACCGCGTGCACGAAGTACAGCACGAACTGCACTATCTGCACCTTGGTGAGATGACTCTTCCACCAGAGCCACTTCTTGTACTCCGGTCCGAGAGCCGCCAGGAAGTAGTACAGGTACGACAGCACATTCACGAAGCCGTTGATGCACACTACGAACATAGTGTGCGACTGGGCGGCGTAGGTGACGTTGATCCAGACGTTCCAGGCGACGATGACGTGGTGCACCACGTGGAGCGTCGTGATCTGTTCGTACTTTCTCCGTAGGACGTAGAACACGGTGCTGCTCAGCTCGCACAGCTTGAACAGGTACAGCCACCACGAGAGGCGCACTATCTCCAGGCTGGCGGGCTCGTCGCTCACGTCCAGGTCCATGAGGAACGTGTAGCCACGGTCCCAGTAGGCGAGCTTAGCGAAGCGCGCCACAAAGAAAGCGGTGAACAGCGCGGCCAGTAGGTTGTAGACGAGGATGAAGCTGCGCAGGTCGTACGGCTTGCGCCTCGACATCCACCGAGGTCCGCCAACCTTGACGAAGTAGACGTACGCGGCCGTGATCATGGCCACCGGCAGCGGGCTGCCGGTCAGCGGCCAGCCTTCCGTGCGGGAGTCGCGCTGTGGAAACCACGGAGTCGCGTTCGTATGCATGCCGCCGAGTAAGCTGGCCTCTTGTGTCTCCATCGTGGTAGGCGGTGCGAGGCGCTCCTCGCGAACCAAACTGTGCGCTGCCGCGGTAGTCCGTGAACCCTGCTGTCGGGCGTGCGCTTCGCCCGCCGGTCACTGACGTTCTCCGTACGCGGTGCCGATGCATACGAGGAAGGATTTCACGAGGGAAGCCAGTTTCTTCTCACGGTTCGCCCTCTCTCTTTGAAGAGCGCGAACTTGGCCTGCCACCCTCGCCCCTCGTACGGCCGGTCCTTTTTTAGGTACAGGAAGGGGAGGGGGAGATGGGCGATTTTTGAGACGGTCGCTAGCCACCCCCCTCTCGACCTCAGCACTTGTCAATGCGTCCGCATTTTTCCTCCTTTCTTGTCGCTCTCATTTCGCGCTTGGTATGTTTGCTTTGCTGTTACCCAAAACATTGCTCTAGGCCAGAGATAGCTAGTCAGCGAGTACAGATAAAGATTTAGAGTGAGATACGCACATATGCGTTGTTTTATCAGTGAATCGGAAAGAAACGCACTACTGCCTTCTCTCCACCGTACCCTTGCCTCCGATAGTTTGCTAGCTCTTTTTCTTCCTTTCTTGTCATTGTTCATTTTCTTTTGTCGTTCGTTTCCCGTCATTTCGACCGTCAAACCACCTGTATACCATTTTCTTGAATGCCTACCTTAGCCCCTCCACAATGAAAATAATTGCTTTTGTGGCTGGCAGTACTCGGAAAATGAGCAGCAGTTACATTTGCTGTTCGAACGTTCTCGTATGGAGGTATTTTGTTGGTTCTGACCGGATCCGTGAAACTCGCGGGCCTTGTGACGTCACTTAATTGGGCAGTCTATTCACGGGCTATTTATTGTTGTTAAGCTTGTTATTCTGTTCGCGCACGCGTGTATTAACTTGGTGATAGCCAGAAGTGTGGCAGCTTGGGCTAGTTGGTATGACATGACGATAGTTATAGCGCGAGAACAGAATGACGACATGTCCTTCGTGTCCTTTTTGTCTTTATGTCACCGTTCTGTTCTTGAGCTATAACTATCGTCATCATCGTGATAACCTTGCTTGTCAATTCTCCGCTATGAGCGATGACAAATGTTATGGTAATGAACCTACCGGAAGCAGAGCCAGACGCGCAAAAAAGAATGAAGAAATGAACATGCCTTCTGGGCATGCTCTAAACATGCTCCTTCGCCGGTACATCGCAAACACACATATCGCATCATTACTCTCGTTAACTAACCGAGATCCTGGTCATGCTTGTGCACGATGAAGGTTAGTAGCTAGCAGTTAGTTAATATGCACGATTCAAACTCGTTTGCCCCCCCCCCCCCCGCGGTGGTCAAGTGACTAAGGTACTCGGCTGCTGACCCGCAGGTCGCGGGATCGAATCCCGGCTGCGCCGGCTGCATTTTCGATAGAGGGAAAAATGCTGTTGGTTCGTGTGTTCAGATTTGGGCGCACGTTTACCCCAGGTGGTCAAAATTTCCGGAGCCCTTCGCTACGGCATCTCTCATAATCAAATGGTGGTTTTGGGACGTTAAACCCCACATATCAATCAATTAATGAATTGATTCAAACTTTCGAGATATAAGTAATCCACCTGCTGCGATGTTCTTCCCGTACGCACTATCGTACGTCATATCGCTGGCATCATCTCAGCGCAATGAACACTGTGAAGATCAGCAGGAACAGCTGCAACAAACAAATATTAGGCTTAAATCTGGCGTTCCGCCCTGGAACTAGCACGATCTGATGATAAGGTATGTTGTAGTAGGAAACGCAAGATTATCTTGTATTGAAGGAGCGCACCGAACCAGGACGGAGAAAAAAAAGAGTAGTACAAACAGGCGCTGATTAGTATCGTGTGTACTTGTTTTTTTTTTTCAAATAACGTTTAGTTGCGAGTTGCCTGTTTGTGCTCTTTTCTTCGTCCTCGTCCTATGCACGCTGCTTCAACCCAAGATGAACGCCTCCCAACACGCTTAAATTTTCTGTTCTTATAATATGAAACTCAAGATTATTTCGAACACATGCAGCTTCTTTAAAACAGCCATGACACCCAATTTTCGATCATAATTTGCGTTTCATGGGTTCAACCTTGAGAAAAATAAGCTGAAAAATTTTTAGCCTATTTGGTCGAGCACTTTTGAAGCTTGAAGTTTATTCACAATCGAAAACAACATTCGTTATTCAAGTGGTTAAATGGGAAAGGGTGATGAAAAAGCAACGGAGTGCCAACTTCATCTATAAATGAACGTTTTTTTTTTCTTTTTTACAAATGCGCAAGTGGCCCGAGAAGTTGGGCAACACTGGCGCATTCGCGTGCCTTGACGTAACTAGCAGCTGTTTGTGCGAGCGTCTGCGTTCCGGTGAACGATATTTTTCCGTGGCCAGCAGCGCGTGAAATCGAGATATTTGATTGATTTGTGGTGTTTAACGTCCCAAAACCACCATATGATTATGAGAGACGCCTTAGTGGAGGGCTCCGGAAATTTCGACCACCTGGGGTTCTTTAACGTGCACCCGAATTCGCGCACACGGGCCTACAACATTGCCGCCTCCATCGAAAATGCAGCCGCCGCAGCCGGGAATCGAACCCGCGCCATGCGGGTCAGCAGCCGAGTACCTTAGCCACTAGACCACCGCGGCGGGGCAAAATCGAGATGTTTGAGCTACCTCCCGCTTGGCATTGGAATCGCGCGGTTCGCAACTGCTGAAACTGGTAGAAGACGACGGGAACGCTCTTTGCTGCGCGTGACGTCACAGGCGCCTTGGCAAAACGGCGGCGGTCACCGGCGTTCGGCGGGGTTTACAGCCGGTAACTTCTAGGGTCGTTTTGCACGGAAATATTATTACTTTACGGCACACTTCTCATATATGTATAGCCCTTTATAGGCATAACGAGCTACTACTTCTAGCTTTCACCGAAAACAACAAACTGTTGGGTGACCATGTGATGACCTCTTCAAATAAAACGATCGTTCTTACCAAAAAAACAGGTAATTTGACGAGTGCACCGTTACACCAATACCACGGGTTTTTCCCCGGGATCTCCCTAACTTTAGCTAAAGGGACCATCAATTCTATTGACTATGACCCAGTAAAGGTAACACGAAGGCAAAGGCAACCTTGTAGCTTTGTTTTTGTTGTTAATTGAGTGGTCACATGACCTGTCCATGCAGTCCTCAAACTGAAGCGACTTGGGAACGTGAAATATATTAAAGTTCAAAAATTACCACAGGAATACGGCATCGTATAGTTGGCCAAGGCGGCAGCTTCTTATCTACGCAGTGCCTAACTTTACATCCAACTACACAAAACACACCCACCGCACACATTATGAGGTGCATAAAACATTTGTCACAGGTATACTACAAGCATGCATGCGTGTGTGTGCCTGTGTGCGTGTGTTGCGCGCGCGCGTGTGAGTGCTAGCCTTCCAAGAAAAATCACGTCTGCCTGAGCCAACAGCAGCAGGAGAAAATATCTGTGCTATAAGTATACATCCCTTAGGAAGTGTCAAGTAATAAAGCTTTTCCTTCATAAGTGCACGCTCTCATTAGTCGGGAAGTCGTACGTTCAGCATCAGAATCGACTGATTTTTTTTCTTTTGACAGTTCCAGCGTGCTAGCTTTTTTCTCAATGTTGGCTCGATCACTCAGACGCAGGAGCACATAATGCAGGCGTACTGATTCCTAAGATTTGGTACAATACGATTAAATTGCAGTTAAAAGTCCGATCACAAAAGGCTAGGTGAAAGTAGTAGTAGTAATAATAATAATAATAATAATAATAATAATAATAATAATAATAATAATAATAATAATAATAATAATAATAATAATAATAATAATAATAATAATAATAATAATAATGTGGTTTTACGTCCCAAAACTAGGCATCATGAGAGACACCGATGTAGACGGCTGCTGAAGTTTGGACACATACCTGGTGTGTTCCTTAATGGGCACTAACATCGTACAGCACACGGCCCTCTACCATTCTGCCTGCATCAAAATGAGACTGCGGCGACGGGTATCGAACCCGCATCTTTCGGGCCCGCAGCCTAGCACCGTAACCACTACGCCGCCGTGCCGAACTTTCTGTGAAAGTTAATGAGGTCGCAGACGAACTCTAACATTGCGTCAGGGTTACAGAAAAGCAACGTACAGGTGAGGGTGACTTCTAGAACAAATAGAAATAGATATTTCGATATGCACTGACTTTCTTTAACGATTTGTAAGCAGGGGAAGCGAGAAATGTTTATATTGTCACGGGGTGAGAGTAAGCAGAGGGTAGAAATATATTTACAGATTCTACACGGAGTCGACAGTGTGAGAGCGATCAATGTTCAGATGTGTCAGAGACACACGCTTCAGTGTGGACCCATTTCTGTGTGGTGTGGACACTCAGTGTTAAAAAACGTGAACTCATTGTGTAAGTGTTGTGCTATGTACATATATATGTATAGCGTTGTGTTTGCTACAAAATGTGTGATGTTGACTTTGGTGCAAGAGAAGAGGAGTAGCCGGCGCCACGCATTGGCACCAACATCTCCTTACATACATTTAATTAAAAAAAGAGTACACAGTGTCCTTGAACCAAGATGGCGGAGTGGCAACAACAACACGAGCTTTTGTTCAATCGTCATCCTCGTCGCCTTTATGGTGCATTCGTTGATGTTAATGATGACCTGTATCAATATTGTCAGAGTGGGGAGCTATTGCATTAGCTCCTCTGGTAGGCTAAATAGAAGCAGTATATTCAGGGTAGTACAGGATTGCACGAGGATCACAGATTCTCGACATACCTAGACACGTCTGAAACCGGCTGCGACATCGTGTCACAACAGCAGCCTGTGTGGGCTTCTCACGTAACGTGCAGTTGAGTTGATCTGCAGTACAGTGTTGACAGCGAGCCCCAAGGACAAGCTTTCCGGGCATCACTACAAAAAAGAACTGGTAAGGCAAGAAAAAAAAACAGAGAAGAAGGAAAGACGCGATCTGACAAATAACGCTATCTTACATCCAACTCGCACACCCTGTACCTTAATATAAACGCGGCCGTGGTTTTTGTTAATAAAGAGTTGAATATTGGTTGGTTGGATGGTTGTTCCTTAGCTATACATAGCGCAACCCATTGTGAGGGGTGCGCCATGAAA